TCCTAGTTTTAATCTTACCCTTATCTGTTCTGTGGAGCTGCTGCTCAGTTCGTCTCCAGATTCCGAATCCTGATGAATCCTTTCCGAGCCTTCTCCTGCGGAATCACAAGACTGTTCCTGGGAGAAGCTAGTTTTCTCTATGTCCAAGAACTCTGGGCCGGGAAAATGACCAAACAAGCGTGTCCTATTCTGGCTGGAAACTTTAGGAGAATGTGAGTCATTGTTAAATTTTCCGTTATTATGGGTCAGGTCCAGGCTTAGGTTGAGAGTCTGACCCGGATTATAACTGGGTCCAAAATTCTGATTTGCATCTCGAATAAGACCTGTTCCTTGAACAGACGACGATGGCTTTCCAAAGCTTGAAAGCTCAGGCAATTTGTTCACATTTTCTGTTGATCTCTGAAGATGCAGACTCTGTACCACTTTCACAGGATTATTGGGCAGTCCAGCTGAGGGCTTAGCAGGCGGCATCAGGGCTTTGCGGGTTACCTCCTTCACATACTGGGCTGGCACGTAGAACGCTTTGGAATTCTCATCTGGCTTGACTTGCCACCAATCATCATTTGTCTTTTTCACCAAGATGTACCGCTCCCCTTGTTTTATGACAATCTTTCTGTCCTTTGCTTCGTACTCATAATCATATTCTACTTCGATGTACACTTGTCCTGGAATGACCCTTCCGCTTCTGTCAGCCATTTTTACTCAGCAACGTTCACCTCTCACAGAGGACGGTACGCCGCATTACGGCTTTGTGGCTTGTTGCATTAACACAGCTATTTTATTTAAATGGAAGAAGAGAATGAAGAAAAAAGTTAATGTAATCTGGATTTTATATTTACTCACAAATGTAAAATTTAAAGGCCATTTAAAGAATATTACTTCAAATCTCAAACCCCGGAAAGTAAACATGCATCTAATACCATATGTACTGTCCTACATTAAAAACGCTTTCATTCTAATTATAACCTAAATTTTTCAGTCATTTATGAACAAAACTAAAACCAGTGACTGGAACAGTAAATACGGTAACCAGTCAGACATAAAACTACTAAAATACGAGTTGGGAAGAACTTTCCTTCCTTTCATGACTACCTCAAACCTCCATCTCCGAGAACGGTTCACTAGGGCTAACAAGGCACCTGTACCCGGCACTCAGCTGGGTTCTCTACATGTACTATCTAGGGCCCTTTTTGAGCTGAACTTCAGTTACCATGTATTAGTATTTTACTCTTTAGTTTCCAAAAAGATCAAAGGCATTAGTGAACTTTAAAAAAAAGCTAAAATTACTCAATTGTATAAGTTTAATAATACTTAATATAAATGATAAAAAGGCCAATATTATAATTGAGCAAAATCCAAACACAGACAAAGAAAAACTGCTAGTTTACTTCATTTCCCTCTTACCTCTACTCAGCAGGGCCGCAATCCCTTTTAGGTTGAATCTCACAAATGCCAACAAATAACCAATCTTTTTATTTGTACGTGTTAAAAAATCCACCCTGCTCCCCAATTCAAAGTCTATTAGAAATAGAGCTAGGCCAGGTATGGTGGCTCATGCATGTAATCCTAGCACTTTGGGAGGCCGAAACAGGAGGATTGCTTTGAGGCCAGGAGTTCGAGATCAGACTGAGCAAGAGTGAGACCACCTCTCCACAAAAAATAGAAAAATTAGCCAGACGTGGTGGGTCACACCTGTAGTCCCAGATATTTGGGAGGCTGAGGCAGGAGGATCACTTGAGCCCAGGAGTTTGAGGTTGCTGTGAGCTAGGCTGATGCCACTGCACTCTAGCCTGGGCAACAGAGTGAGACCCTTTGCAAAAGGGGAAAGTAGGGGAAGGGAAGGGGAAGAGAAGGGAAGGGAAAGGAACGGAAGAAAGAGAAGAAGGGCAGAAAGGAAAGGAAGGAATAAAGAAAGGAAAGAAAGAAAACTGGTTTGAGTAATCTAGTATTCACTTTTATTTCTATATCAATTCCAAAATATTTTAGTACCTTACAAAACACAGTACTACAGGTTCAAAATGATCACAGCATCTTGACATCGCTACAACTTGAACAGCCCCAGCTTCTGTCGGATATATGTGTTCCACAAAAACACATGATCAAGTCCTAACCCCAGGACCTGTGAATGTGACCTTACTTGGAAAGAGGGTCTCTGTAGATGTAATCAAGGTAAGACAAGGTCATATTTGATTTTGGGCCCCAGACTAGTGTCTCCATAAGGACAGGGAGATTTAGAGACACAAAGGAGACTTACAGAGGAAGAAGACAGTGTAAAGACAGAGGCAGAAATTAGAGTGAAGCAGCTACAAGCCAAGGAACACCAAGGACTGCCGGCAACCAGAAGCTGGAAGAGGCGAGGAAGGATTCTCCCCTGGAGACTCAGAGGGAGCACAGCTCTGCCAACACTGATTTTGGACTTCTAGCCTCCAGACCTGTGAGAGAATAAATTTCTGCTGCTTAAGCCACCCAGTTTGTGGCACTTTGTTACAGCACCCCTAGGAAACCAATACACTCAACCCGACACTCAAGGACACTAAAGCAAACTGAGATATACCAAAAATGTGTAAGCCCCAAAGTTGCAGGACAACATACCAACTTTCTTCAGCACACAAATACCGAGCACGTTACTCTACATGGCAGGTACAGCAGCAATCTTCCCCCTGAGGACAACATTCTTCTCTGTGATGTAGAGCCCATAAGCCCAAATGGTAAATAAGTTACTGATAAAATTTCAGTAGCTAAACTTTACTTTCTAAACAAACTACTTGACTAAAAAGTTTAATACGGTAATATTTCATCAAAAAAATAAAAATAAAAACTTAGAAGAAGATCTAAATATCCAGCACTACATTTAAACCTATAAAAAAAAAGTTCATTAACTCTAACCAGGATTGCTTAAAGAAGGCGAAGAATATAATGTTGCTTACATTTTTGGAAGCAAAACATTTTTATAACAGCTATACGGAACACAGGACAGTTTGATAGTTTGATACATCACGACTGTGGGCAGCTCCATCCTCCAAACACGTGCAAACACAATCAGTAAAAGCCACTGTGGTCTGTGTTACACTGCCCTCTCCTAATTCATTTCCACATTGTTTCAACTTCATTCTGTCCCTTATTTTCTTTATTCTGACAGAAATATCTTTCTAAACTTCTGATTATATGAGAAACAACTTTTGTAAAATTGTTAAGATGACAGAACTGTTTTTCAAGTTTATGGTATTGAGCGGGTAAAGAGAATAAAAACATATGTTAAAAATTATTGGGAGTCCTAGCCAGGCACAGTGGCTCACACCTATAATCCTAGCACTTTGGAAGGCCGAGGTGGGAGGATCAATTGAGGCCAGGAATTCAAGACCAGCCTGAGCAACATAGTGAGACCCCACCTCTACAAAATATAAAAATGAAATTAGCCGGGCATGGTGGCACACGCCTATAGTCCCACCTACTCAGGAGGCTAAGGCAGGAGAATCACTTGAGCCCATGAGTTTAAGGCTGCAGTTGAGTTATGATGATGCCACAGTCACTCTAGCTTAGGCAGAAGAGTGAAACCCTATCTCAAAAGAAAAAAAAGTTATTGGGAATCCGAACACATTTCCCCACAGATTATTTTCTAAATTTTAAATAGGAAAATATACCTTTACAACGGAGAGATCTGGCAGTTGTGGGTTTAACTAAGTGATCAAACTTAACAACTAATAAGACAAGTGACAAGATATGCCCCTAATGTGATATAGTAAAACATACACAATGTCACTTACATTTGTATTCTTGCCAAAAGCATGTTTCACCTCAAGCAATTATTAGGAAACAATCAAACAAATCCAGAACGTGAGACATTCTATTAGACAACAGACCTGAACTCTTCAAAAAAGTCAATGTCACAAAAAAATGAAAAAACGGAGGGAGATTCTTCTAGTTTAAAAAGGACTATTGACAAATAACAACCAAATCTTCTTGGTAGTCTAATAAGTACCTAAAACTTATCATATCCAAATCTACTTCCTATCTCTACCCTACCCCAGCCCTGCCAAATCTGCTCATCCTATGGTCTCTCTCATCACAGGAAACAGAAATTCTAACCTTCCGAGTGTTCAGCCTTTACTTTTGTGCATTACCAGGACATCAGTCACTATGCGCTTTAATCCTTTACCTACATAAATTTTTCACTACAGCTATCTAATATTTCAGACTGAAATACTTATCCTTGGATGATTTATTTCCCCCCTTCCAGGGAAGTAATACAATTACTTAAGAAGTACCTTTGAACATATGGAGATGAGTGAGGGAATATGCAGCTACTTTTCAGCAGGTTATAGGAGCTCAGACATCGGATTATTGGTTAGACGTGTATTCACAGGGATGGAGGACAGAAAAGTATGAAGAGTAACAAGTAAGCTGTATGATTTCAGGCTAGTGGGAGAGGAATTGTGGGCTGGGAAACAGCGGGTTAAAGGCCAATCCACGCTGCCAGGCCACAGGACCACACCTTTCCCAGTGACTATGAAGATCAGTATGAAGGAGGAGACAGGGAGAAAGATAAGGAAGTCACAAGACATCTATACAGAGAGGGTAGTTAGATACCAAAACAGATGAAATAAGCAAGTGTGGACACAACAGGCCAAGAGAATAGGAACCGAGATGGATTTCTAGTTGACGCAGGGGTGAAGGGTGGGGAAAGAAGCTGGGGAGCCCCTAAGAGAAACTCTTAAAATTATGGATGTACAGAAGGCCATGTAGCAAGAATTAAGTATTATAACCCAAGGTCTAGGAAAAGTTAGATAAAATAAAAAGGAAAGGAAAAGACTTATTATAAATTATGAATTCAAAAAGAATAAAAATATTAACCCTTTGTTAGATGTATAGTTTGCAGATATTTTCTCCCGTTCTGTAGGCTGTCTCTTCACTCTGTTGACTTTCCTTTGCTGTGCAGAAGTGCTTTAGTTTGATACAGCCCACGTGTCAGCAGTACACTGAGCTCCAGAGACAGTGGGGGCACTGGGCGACTCTGCCTGGCTGAGGAAAAATAAGTAAACACTGGCAGAGGAGATCCTAAAAAACCAAGAGGCAAAATGGCATCATAGACTTCTTTGTGCAAACTTGTCTGGAGGAACACAAGAAGCAGTACCAGATGCTTCATCAACTTCTCCGAGTTTTCTAAGAAGCGCTCAGAGAAGAGGAAGATCATGTCTGCTAAAGAGAAAGGAAAATCTGAAGACGTGGCAAAAGCGGACAAAGACTGCTATGAAAGAAGGGAAAACCTTTATATCCCTCCGAAAGGGAAAACAAACAAGAAGTTCAAGGACCCGAATGCACCCAAGAGACATTCTTTGGCCTTTTTCTTGTTTGTTCTGAGCATTGCTCAAAAATAAAAGGAAAAACATACCGGCCTATCCACTGGTGATGCTGCAAAGACACCGGGAGAGAAGTGGCATAAGGAAAACCTGATGCAACAGAAAGGAGTTGTCAACGCTGAAAAAAGGAAGAAAAAGAAGGAAGATGAAGAGAATGAGGAGGAGGAATAAAAAAAGATGATGATGACAAATTAAGTAGGTTCTAGGCTGGGCGCAGTGGCTCACGCCTGTAATCCTAGCACTCTGGGAGGCCAAGGCTAGAGGATCATTTGAGGTCAGGAGATCGAGACCAGCCTGAGTAAGAGCGAGACCCCTGTCTCTACTAAAAATAGTAAAAATTAGCCGGGCATGGTGGCGCAGGCCTGTTGTTCCAGCTGCTCGGGAGGCTGAGGCAGGAGGATCCCTTGAGTCCAGGG